GAACTAGAGCTCTCAGGTCAAACCGTCTCCCACCCCGTGAACAGCGACAACCCTACAGAGGAGAACGATATCCCTCGCCATCCAACCCCTGCGCGTCCTGCTCCGTCTCGTTCTCACCGACGCTCAGCCACCCTTACCGCGCGTCGCGCTCTATCGCTCCCTCCCCTCGTTCGGCACATTCTCAACCCCCTCCAAGCTGATGGTGCATCTCTTCCGCCAGATGGCGGCTGAACACACCGGCGTATTCTCGTGTCTGTGTGCGTGTCACGTTTCTCCCACCAATCCTGGTGGAACCCATCGCTACACGACAGTGTTCATGCCGTTGTGCGCACTACCACTGTCTTCGACAACGAGTTTCACCCACCCAACAGGAGGGATTGTATGTATATGTATATATGTGTGTGAGAGACGCGATCGAGCTCGTGACGACGAATCGACGCGGGACAAGGACACACGCCGTATACCGGGCGTATACGCGTAACGCGCGCGACGGAGACGGAAGAGCGCGGCGACAGTGGGAGCGAGACGGCGAAGCGAAAATGAGGGAGAGAGGCTGAGAACGTGGCAAAGGGAGCGAGTAAGAACGACGCCGTCGGGGCCCCAACAGCCTCTCACTAGACAGTATTACTTTCAACCGTTTAGCGGGGCCAATGCTACCCGGTACGTAGTAGTCAGTCAGCCGAGCAGTCGGAATCAACCGTCCACGAATACCAAGAGACAATTCTTTCTTTTCTCAGTTCCTTTTTTCTCTCTATCTCCGTTTCTATCCCTATCATTTTTTATCCTCCTCCACGTCCTTCCGCATTCGCCGGTTACAAGAGGTTAAAGGAGGAAAATTTAAGACAGGGAAAAGAGCGTTATTTTATTATCAACGTAACACGCTGTCGCGACGGCCAGAACGACGGGCCACCACGTCGTTCACCGGTCGTCGTGTCCGCTCACCGCGTCCTCCTCGGACGCTGCGCCCGTGACAGACTGAGGCGCGCGACCGCCGCGGCCGGTGGATATAAATAAAGTTTCCGCGCGGACGGGAGTCTCGCACGCGCGCGAGAAAGAAAGAGGTGAAACGAACGCGCGCGACGACGACCAGGGAAGAGGAAGAGGTGGAGGAGGAGAAGGAGGAGGAGGAGAAGCAGCAGCAGCAGCAGCAGCAGCCAGCAGCCGCAGCAGCAGCGGGAGAAGGAGAAGGCGGAAGAGGGAGATCGAAGAGCGCCGGCAACTGGCACGGCCGTTTGTTTCTCGTTTTGAATATTCCTTCCGGCGCAAGCGAGCGATCGACATCGATCCCTCTCGCCGACGTATCGCGTATCGGACCAAGTGAAGAAAACGTATCGCATACCGGGGAATCCGAGCGCGCCGGAAAAGCGACGGCGATCGACGTTGTAGCGCATCGCTGCAAGGACTTGGAGACGGCCGGTATATCAGCTACGGAGGAGTCTTACCGTCATCCCTCCTCTCGCTCTCGCGCGCGGCGCTCGAAAGGGTAGGAGAAGAGGATAGGGGGAAAGGGGAAGCGGCGCATCGCATTCGTAGTCGCACGCGCGTGGAACTCTCCGACCGGTTGTAGTTCCTTCAGTTGGCTCGTGGCTCGTGCGGAGCGTGGTTGTCGTGATACCTGTGCTCTCTTGGTCCGCGCGCATTCTGTGTCGTCGCCGTCGTCGCCGTCTCATCATCGCTGTCTCTGTCGTGTTTTCGCCGTAATGTGCCTATGACGAGGTGATGAACGGCCGGCGTCGCAGTGTCGAGGGGCGTAGTGACAGTGCTCGTCGTCCTGCCGATAGACGATGACGATTTACAAAACGAACAGCAACATCCCGGTCGCTCGTGGTGGACGCAGGGAAAACAGTGTGCTCTGTGTGATCTAGTGTACTTGCATTCTCTTCGCGTAATATATGTATTACATTTGCATATATACGCATAAACGTATAGTTACACGAACGCGTATGCACGCGCTGCGAATGTTTTTGGATTATACTTCGTCGTGTTGGATTTCTTCGTGGTTGTGTGGAATTAAGGATAATGCGATATTGCAGTTATTGTGCAGGTGAGTTTTTGACACACTTGATTCTAAACTTCAGAACGCTAACAAGAATTATTGCGAACGCTTTGGTGCAGCTTCGAACGCGGTGTCATTTTTCCGTTCGTGCATTGATACAGCCTTCTTAATGATCGCTGATGAGATTCGCATTCCTGCTAATAATCTCTCCGTTTTGATCCCCGTGATTATATTCGCGACTCATCGCACCTTTCATTCATAATAATTTCACGTTAGCATTCTGGAGGTCAAGTTTCTGAAATTTTCCTACATTCATCACTCAAGCTCTACATTTTTCTACATTTTTGATTCACGACTGGTAACGCGAATTATATACAAAGTCTACTGTGTGGTTTAGAAAACTATTATCTGCTTTCGCGTAAAAAAAATTTGCTTAAATAAACACAATTATTGATTCTCGTTATGCGTATCTGACTTGCTAGTTGTCGATCGTGATAAAATATGGAATGACATCACGACGATACTTTCAGTACGCTCTGTCTGTCCTTGATCGAGATCGAACTTTGTAAATAGAGTCTTGTTTCTCACGCGTGTTCTTTGGAAATATCTCTTCAGAGTCCACATTTTCATATTAAACTGTAAGTTTAGGAAATGTTGTGCCAAAAATATTTCATGTTTCGTAAAATGTGTGTCGTGAAATGTAACTTTAGCGATAGTAGTGGTAGCAGTAGTATCTAGTAGTATCTAGTAGTATCTAGTTTAATGATATTTACTATTTACCTTTTTTTTTGTGAAAATCACCATGACTCGAAATCGACCCGAAATCTCGCACTCTCGTACATCGATCTGTTGGAAAACGCCCGCGATCTCTCTCTCTTCTCTTCTCGTACCTTCGTCGGCTTTTGCTCGTTATTATATCGTGGAGTGGATATTCCAACCGGCACGGCGCTTTCACAACGGGTGATTGTTCTAAAGATGTGTCATTCCGTCCCGCTCGCGCGCTGCTCTGGTGCTCCGGGGCCCGGTTAGTCGCGAGAGCAAGAAAAAGACGCGAGACACGCGGCAACGGAGAGAAGTGGCGAGGAAAAAGGGGGCAACGGGAGGGACGCTACGATCATCCGTCGTAGTCGCGCGCGCGAGAGTCGACGAGAACCAGAAAGTCATGTCTACGGTAATCTTCGACGAGCTGCTCTCTCTGTAGGTCAGAACGCGCTGTGCTCGTACATATTAACACCTTCGAGAGCTATTCCGTAGGTCATAGGTCGAAATGTCCCTATACGCGAAAAGAATTCCAATTCCCGATACGTTGCTGTGGATTGCACCTTGCAAATTCCCTTCCAAATAGCATCTATAATCTTTCATGTTATCGGCTTTGGCATTAATAGTGCTGTTAATACTTGGATATCAGATAAAACAGAGTGATATAACGTTAATATTGCGCGCAGAATCATTCTAAGGATGATGTTGAGCGACGTTGTTTCATGTTGCTCTAATCTTTATAGATGAAATTTTTAAGCAGTAAATGCGCAAATACTTGCATTTATAATAGTGGATAATTTTTTTCTTGTAGGTGAAGCTGTTATGAGATGATATTCTGTTATAAGATAATGCATAGTATTAAAAGTAATAATTTAAACAATTAGGAAACGATGATTTCCGATATCAGCGCAAGGTTCGAAGCTTTACGACTCGAATGGGTAAAATTTGTATAATTATACATTTGCGTTCAACGGCAAATCATAGAATCTGAATTACAGAGCGATGAATATATAAACACTCTGAGTTGTTCGCGATTTTTTCGGCTTTTCGAAAACAATAGCCGCGTAATATGTGCGTATGCGCGCAGACGTGTAAAACGCGTATTTGTTTGTCGAGTTTCACTTGTATGGCACGTACGCTTTTATCGATAAGCGAGTTACTTGAACTCACACCACTTAATAATCTCCGACGTGTAACTTTAATTATTTACTCGTCGAGTAACGTTCGATTTATTTCTATTTCGCTGACACGGACGCGAGCTTTAACCACGTTATATCACTCGGCTGTGTGTAATTCAATTTAAGTTTGGGCAATTTTACTTATTTATTTCATTAATTTTACCAGATATACAGCGACGTGATTCTGTCGTGATTCAACTTTTAATATTCTAAACAAATTTTAACTTTATATTTATTTTTATCTTATCAAATTCAATGCATTTCTGTCATAAAACTGACTTTCACATCCAATCTATTCTAAAACTCGTAACATTTTTTTTACACGTAATCATTTGATTACATAAAAAAGAAAAATATATTCTTAATTTCTTTTCAAATAGATATATTTCATCCGTGACGAATAACATTGCTATTTATATTCTCGTCACACAAAGTTCTTTCGTTTTCTCTACGGCGCATGCTCATTCGCAAAGTTATCAAACGATCGCATGACTTGGATTCGACCTCGTGAAAGGAAAATGTTTCATATCTCTTTTGGCGATAATCACCGCGACATTGTCACCGACGCCTGTTATCAGTTGTCGTGGAACAAAACGTGCGTGGGCGACCTCTTGGCCTGCTGACGATGGGTATTATAAAAAAGCAACGATATCCTTTTATTCGTTGAATATCTCAATATCCGAATATTTCAATATTGACGTCAATGTATACCTAAAAATATTTATTTACATAACAATTTTTATTTTACTTATATCGAAACCGATATAGATAACAAGCGGTGTTCGACAGGAAATATTAAGTAGTCAGCGGAGATTTGAAGTAAAATTTACTTTATTTCTTCAGAATTTTTTATCACGTCTAAAAATCTATTTATAAGTAAAAAAAAAAAGATCACAGTGAATTGAGCTTATTTCATAACGGAGTCTAGATTCTTTATGAATGACTCGGGGAAGTGAAAAAGAACTGTTCTCTTTCAGCACCGGAGTATCATTTATTGATACTCGTTGTGAAGTATCTATACGCCGGCTTTAGTATCATCAAGTGTATCAAAGTAGGCATTCGTGCGCCGAGACCGGTGCGATAATCTTGACAATATTAAACACGCAGTATTCTACGTAGCTCGGCTATCTAATCGTTAATGATCGTCAGTCGTGCGTCGAGTCACTGTACCACGCTATCGACGTACGCATAATTTTCCACAATAGTCTTCCGAAGCACTTGCGTAGCGATTTTCCACGATCCGGTGAACTTGAATATTTCTGTTCGTTTGTAGTACTGCTTGTATATAAGCATGTCTATAGTCTTTACAGTTAGTCTTTACAGCTGAGTGTTCATCCGCGTCACTCTGATATTATCTGATTAATGATATCATTTGTTTTGAGCATTTTGTTATACTGGATTTTTTGCATTATATTTTTTTTTGCATAAAATGTTAAATTAAAGAATTATTTATTAATGTTTTTTTGTTGATATTTTGAACTTTCGACTTTAGTTGAAATTTATTTTTTTTTATGAGGGCGGAATAAATTACTGGGCTAATTATTAATCTGCGCCAAAGGAGCAACTGTTTTCATAACTCGTAAACAAGTAGGTTAATTAACGTAACAAATTTCCCTCAAAATATTGTTTTGAAGATGCAAAGTTGAAAGGCATAAGCTGAATAATGTTTTAATACATTTTATAAAAAATGAGAAAATGTAAGAATAATAAATTGTGTCTCGGGACTTAATGATAATGGTATAAGCAAAATAATCAAGAAGCCGTGTATATATCGGAAGAGTAGGGTTTCCCGGAAGTCCGTAAAGCAATCTCGAACAATCGGCGATGGTATTCAACTTTTTGTACGAAATCAATGAAATAATTCGATCTTCGAGTCGGCTTGCCGTATCACCATAAATTATTACGGAACAAAAGAATTCGGAAGAACATTGTGCAAACAAAGCGCGCATTCCACAGGCATCTCGTTCGCGCGATAAGCAACTAACAAAGGCGCGACAGCCGACAATCGTTCGCTTTAAAGGAAGCCGCCAAAACTGTGTCAGGATCCCTTGACATTTGTGTGTCGCCGCTTCGACGCGACGACCTTGTTGAGGCTCACTTTTTCCTCGCCTCTATTATTCGCCCCAGATTCGCGCGTAGGCGTTATGGCAACGCAATCGATTTGCAGTAAATTTTGATAACGCTGAGGGGGATGTAGCGCTCGAACCGTTATCAAAATTAGCCATTCTCATGAAACGAGCGCAACGAAACGCGGCTCGGTTCTATCTGACTAATTTCCAATAATCAGAAACTTGTTAATGCAGGCGTCGCATGATGCAGAAAGTGCATAGTTTATCAACACTTTTTAATACCGCGTTGGAAGTAAAACACAAATATCTTTACATTGTTGAATTGTCCGTTCGTCTATAACATATGTAGAAATGAATAATGTATAACATTTTGTAAAAGTCTCACCACAAATTTTTTTAATGTTTAATATAAATTATTGAGCATTTTTTAAAATTTTTGTTAATAAAAGTCTTAAAATTTATTATAGGGTTTATCATTGATATTTAATATAATTGTGACATGCCCGCTGTAATCTGCAATGCGCATACAATCCCGCTTTTTACATGCCGATGTTGTTTATAACTAGGATTATTATAACGCCGCTTCTGCGATCATCGAGCTTTCACCTAAGGCTGCGAGATCTATGAGCGGGAGGGATTTATCGAGTGCCTCGCGCGCATGCTACGACTGCATACGCGGTGGATATACGCGAGACAGGCAGCGAATTGCGGGCGCGGTTTGCGCGCATTTATTGCGAACTCGTCGCCGCCACGCCGCGGCGCGCCGAGAAGCGTTTCGTTCAAAGCCTTCTAATCTCGATACAGACTCCGTTGCGGTGGCACAATATCAGAAATAGGTTTGTTAAAATAAGCGTACACTCGATGGCGCGTATACCGAGTCGCTCAGGGACGTATCACGGTTTAAGAGTCTCGCCAATGCATTTCGAATATGTTCCGAAACTATCAAATTTGATCATTGCAAGGTTTTTTTTTGCCGCTATCCTGTACAATTAACGCGTATCGTACAATCGCTGTTTTTATTTTATTATACTCTATCAGTAAG